ATAAAAAAACAATAAATCAAACCGCTTTCATTAGCACATACATACATCAATCAGTTCCCGAGGTAGGACGTTAGCACATATATATATATATATATATATATATATATATATATATATATATATATATATATATATATATATATATATAGAGAGAGAGAGAGAGAGAGAGAGAATAATAATCGACAGAACAACAACGGTGAACCAAACTATATATCATCAATATTTAAACGCGAAAGATTTTAAACTGCCCCAACGTCTATTAACTCACGGTCCTATATAAGTTCTTTACTGCTATACTTACATAACCAAATTCACTGTCATAGAAAATTGTTATGTAATAATCTATGCTACTTCTATACTACTTGTACATCATGCTATTACGTCAACTATACCGCTTCTATTCTGCTTCTACAGGTACGTACACTGCATATATATATATATGAAATTGGTTATATTACAAAACAAGCCAATATATATATTTTATTTATTTATTATTTATTAAGAGCAATTTGTTAGCGGCAATTAAAACTGTTTCAAGAGCGCTCTTATTAAAAAACAAAATGTACGTGACTCTATTTAAAAAACAAAAATTAAAAAGTCACAGTTTTCACAGTTTAACAGAAAATAAAAATGTTTTCAATTCTTTCTTAAATAATTCCAATGAAAGTCCAAATCTTCTCAACGCCGGTGTAAACGACATTGCAATGTCCCTTGAACTAATTTGCAAACGTGCTATTGGCACAGACAGCAAATTCAAATCATCCGACCTGAGATGGAAAGTCGATGTAGGTTGTTTTTTTGGCAAATTTTCTTGGCATATATTCTGGTGACAATGATTTGAACGTAAGGACTACAATCTTGAAGACTATTCTTTTATTTATCGTCAGCCAGTGAAGCTCGTTCAAGATCGGTGTTGCATGATCAAATCTTAGGCCACCGATAACAAGTTTCACAGCTCTGTTTTGTATTGACTGAAGGATTGTGATTGATGATGTGTCTGGTAGTTTATAAAACAAGCTGCTGCAATAATCTTAACGAGATGTAATGAAGGCATTGACCAACGTTTCCAATGTTGATTTATCTAGTGATTGTCTGATTCGATACATGTTTCTCAGGCAGATAACACTCGAGGCACAAATCTTTTTGATGTGGTCCCTCATTGACAATTTGCTATCAAGCAGGACACCTAGGTTGGAAGCTGTATTGATAGATGATATATCAACATCTCCTATTTTAACAGATAACTGCTGTCGTGTTCCAACTGGAAGCAATCTCAAATTTTAATGAACTCGGAGGACTAGTGACCAGTACCTGAATATCATCAGCAAACGCATGACAGACAAAACCATAAGAACTGATTATTGGCAGGGTTCGAATTGAAGGGGGGGTTGGGGGGGTTTACCCCCTATCTCTAAAATAAAACCCTCCACCTTTCGTTTAATTTTAATGTTGGGGGGTCAAACCCGTACATTCAAAACTTCACCCGCCAATCCTTATGACCCCCTACTTCTTTTTTCACAATTCGAACACTGATTATGTCCGACGTGTGCAGCAAAAAGAGGACGGGTCTCAAAACCGAACCTTGACGAACCACTGATGCAGTAATTAAACTTTCAGATAGTGAACTTTAAATGAAATCTGTTATGTGCAATTCGATAGGTACGATCTGAACTTTTCATGTGCATTATCTGTTATGCCATAATTTTGACGCAACTTTGTTAAAAGAACATCATGGATGACGCAATCAAACGCCGCTGAAATGTCCAGAAACGATAGTAATGATGTGTTCTGAGCGTCTGTAGTCTCAAACAAATTTGATAGGACATGCAGTACTGCAGTTTCTGTTGAATGAAACCGATTGTAAAAAATTGTTTGTTACGACATTGAGCGAGACGCGCTAGGTTATAAAAAATGAAAAAAATTGACAGAATATAAAATGTGAAATTAGTAATGTTAAGAAAAGTTCGAGCAACCTTGATTAACTGCTTTCTAGATATGCCATCTGAGCCCTTGCACGTTATAATTTTTGGTAGGTTGATGCCACCAGCCAGCGTAAATGTTCCCTCAAAACCCTCCACATATACAAAGTTTTTATATTTTGCACCGGGATTAACCTATAAATAATAGACAAAAAGCAATAATTACTGAAACAGGAAAATGCAGCTGTGATTTAAAAAATTTTGTAATCTATATTACGTAAATTTTAAAGATTGAAAAAATAGGCATTAATTTAATGTTAAATCTCTAAGATAAATTTAACGATTAAATTGTAATTTGAAACTATACAAAAATTAGGAAATCTTCTTTTAAATTACTTATTGTATTGTCCGTGCATGTTGTATAAAGTGAAAGTTTTTTAAAGCCTACAAAATTTCACCTACTTTTATTTTCAGAAATATGCAGTTATAAAATAAAATTGAATATTTTTTGTATGACATTTTCATTTCGCTCAAAGTAACTGAGGCGCAACCAGGGAGTCAGACAAATTTTTACCTGATCCTTGGCCTGTACAAATTGTTTTTCAGTTTAATAGCTTTAATAAACAAATAACGGCTTTGTAGAAAAAAAAATTTAATTTTTGTTTATTTTTTGTAGGCATTCAAATGGAAACTGCAGAACATTAATAAAGGCATTAAATTAAAAAAAGTTATGCGGATTACACCTAAATGATAAGATAGAAGGTTATATCGACAGTCAAGTGGCTGAACAAATGATAGAGTTGAAAAGGGTTGCATAATTGAACTGATGGCCAATTTTTATTTGATGTGTTTCTAATATTAACGAGTTGTTTGCCTAAAGAAGTTATCATGGGGACCATCATCAACTATGTTAAAGCATTTTTTGGTTTCAATATTTAGACCAATGAAATTGGAGAAAAATATAAAATATAAAAATATTGTCCAAGCCATCGTATTATTTATACAAAATTTTTTTGTGTAATGATGGAGAGGGTTGATGGCAACGAGATCTTCGCACGTCTGCCTACCTCATGCCGTTGGCGCGCTTTCATGCTGTGTGTTGCACGATGCCTCTGGGATTCATTAAGAAGGAATTGTCGATCGCAATAATGATTACTATCATTCAAATGCACATTAACAATTTCAATCTTGGCCTGCTGATTAAATACTAAGCATATCACTGCATATAAATATTTTGATAAAGTTTGACTTACTGGAAAATGAACTGTAGGGACCGCAATACATTTCAATGATCGGATTTTTTTCAGGGACAAATTGTCATTTAATTTTATCGGCTCTGAAATGATTAAAATTTGATGAACAGTGATATATGTTTGTTAAAAGCAATAAATTCAACAAGACAGCTTTATGCATCAACCACCCACAACGATGTGATAGAAAAATTACACACACGCACACACACGCACACGCACACACAATTGATTCTGGTGATAATGATACTTTTAATATTAATAATGAACTTGTTTATAATGGTGGTTAGACAACAGTTAGGAACAAAATTTTTTGAAGCGTAATGTTGGAAAAACTTCTTTGCTTTTGAATTTTTTATAAAGTGTGTATAAATATTCACTCAATAATAATAACCATTAATAATAATAATAATTTTTTTAGATAAATAATTTATTCAAATTCTAATTCTAATAATAATAACACAACAATAAAAAGAATAATAATAATAATCATGATTACTGATAATGATAACAATCAAACATTTTTAAACTATTGAATAGAACCAAAATTAAGTTGCAGCTGCATTTAGGAACCTGGCCACTCAGGAATGCGAGATAACTAAATTGATGATGCCGCGCAGGGGCTACAATAATTTTCCAAGTAAGTCATAAAAAAGGTAGGAAAATTTAATTTCTTTGCTTAGTTATACAACGACGTGCATGCAAAAGTAAAGTATACAAACTAGAATCTTCTTTGAATCTATCCACATTCCAATAGGCTAATTCAATGTAAGCCTTGTTCAAATTTTCTAAATCATTCACGATTTTGGACATATTCTTGTATTGTTTGATTCTGGAGATGACATTTTGAGCTGCCATTGTTCTCTGCTGTGTGTTGCCAAAATAAACATTTGAAAAGTTGAAGCCTTTTGAATAGATTTATATAATATACACATTAAGCAAAACTTAATATAAGTATAATTTAATAAAAGTATAATATAATTTATTTATATAATATACACATTAAACAAAACTTGGTTCAATCTGAAAAATAGCTTTTAAAAACAAATAAAACGCATTTCAATTATTTTAATAAACAGGCTAATTGTAAATATACAAGATCTTTCATAATTTAAATTACCCAAAGCAGTTGAATTGGATGTAGGACAGCTGCATTTAAATCTTACAAATGTTGAATGAAATGTAAAAAGCCAAAACCTCATCTGAATTTTTCTTGATATGATTAGCGCCGGCCTTCGCGGGTTTGAAGTACACATCATCATACTTGGCTAGTGCCAGAGACATTACGATGGGCAGCACATGATGTGGGTGGTCCAGTGAAGATCTTTCAACCAACTTTTTTGAGAAATAATTATAATTCACTTTAGAAATAAATAACACGATCAAACAACAACAACAACACAATAAACAAAAAATTAAATAAAGTTAAATATGATAAATGAAACCATTCAACTTAATAAATTATTAATTACTGAGTCACAAAATTTTATAAGGATGGGATTGAAACGAAGCTAGTAAATCCCTATTATTTATTAGTTTGCATCAGCTGAATTCAAATAAGAAATTAAAAAAGTTGTTTTCAAATAACTCATAATCGCTTCAATTGACACGCGCAATTCAAATAAGAAATTAAAAAAGTTGTTTTCAAATAACTCATAATTGCTTCAATTGACACGCGCTTTGAATAAATATTTATAATTTGCCACATGTAACGCAGAAGAAATAAGTAGCAACATCAACAAGAAACTTTGAAAAACATTTAATTTGCTGCGTGTGGTAGCTCGCAAAACATTAGCTACGGCTTTTTGTCCATGTTATCTATTATTTTGGACTAATTTTTCATGCATTATGTGAATTGTCTTTCGAGAACTGTTTGACAGCGTATTGAATAAATAAAAATTAAATAAATAGACAATCTAACAAAAAAACCAAGTAAAATTTTTTTGTATGGGTGCCAGCATTTGAGTTTTTACTCGTTTCTTCAGCATCCAGTTATTTAACCCTGCCAATAATGAGTTTCTGTAAGATCCCTGCTTGCTTAAGTGCAAGCTAATTTATGAATGCACGCAAAGCTTTCCTTTTCACCCAGTGAGACACATGGAACAACACACATTCAAGTTGCCCGTGTTTTTGGCGCTTAGATACATTTGATTGACATGTGTGGTTTTCAGATTTTCTTCCCATATCGGCTTCTCAGTGCATTCTCTTTATACACGACGGCTGTCATTTTTTTGCCGGGATAGCAACAATTGATATTAAATGCAATCTATATTTTGGACAGATGGAAGCGATAATATAAAATTATGAATTGAATACAAAAATCGTCGCTACCTGTTGTTGAACGCATTAAAAATAAATTTGAAAAACATCACCCTTACCTGCCGCATTAAAATCGAAACATCTTTTACATACAGCTGCGTGCATATTGATAATGGACTGAAATGAGAGCCTTTCTCAAAACGTAAGTTCGGCCTAATTGTCTCTTAAAACTTAACTGCCATGCACCATTAACTTTTAACCTTTAACAACCATGCATTAAATTTTTGCTTAATCAAACCACTTTGGCCAAATTCCAATATAGCCCAATTTACTGGCTTTCACTATTTTTAATTTAAATATATAGTTATTTTAAATTAAATTTTAATAAAAAAATAACTGTAAAAATCGTTTTGATTTTGTCCGTGATGCACGGAATTTCATATAGAAAGTAAACTATACATAGCATCAGAACTTAATGTTGACCTAGAAGCATTTGCGTCGTTCCAATCAGTTGTCATAAAGGCTCACATTCTGTCCGGCCGTACCCTGTATAACATAAAAAATCGTTTGACGCCAGCGCAGTTCTTGCTTCCAATAGAGTGCACAATGGGGAGAATAGAGTATGGACATTCCAGTCTAACAAATTTATTGATGCATGAAGTATTTTGAATACTATAAAAAGTCTTTATAACAATAACGATATTCAAATCAATAAGAAGCGTTAAAATTTTACTTGAAGCAATAATGACTGAAATTTGTTATTGTCGAGATTCATTCTTGCAGCCAGCTGGTACATGAGTGGGACGAACTTGTATGTCGGAACTTTTGGCAGGTAGTTCTGAAAATAAGCCATCTTATATTAAGTGAAAAAATAAGAACACCATCGATCAACAGTGTGTTAGAGGCGTTTGTTCAATGTCAAACATCATCCAAGCAGTTGAAAGCGTTCAAGAATGGAACCAGGTATGCCTTGAACGACTGAGCAATGAAGGGATCGCTCAGTTTCTCATTACAATTAATTAATTAAACGAACATAATTAATTGAAAACAAAATTAATTGGAAAAAATACAATAAACAGGTGGTGCAAAATTAAAATTAGCAAGAAGACCAACTTCCAGTATATGTATAAAGTTACATGATGGGCTGGCATCAAACCATAATGAGACAAATCTATAAATGCACGAATCATATTTGGAACTCTTTAGTAGGCATCTGAAAATAAATTGTTTGCGTGCAACTCGATTGAATTTTGAGTTGAATAATATTGTCTCACTTTAAGTAATTTTCAATTGAGTAAATGAAAAATTTGTCACAATCTTCTTTCATTTGTTTCAGTTCCCTCTCGTCAATTTGCAAATGTCTTTCTTGCATTTTGTAATACCGGCTGGCAAATAATTAAATAATGTCGTCGAGATTATTTTATTTTAAAAACACTAATAACAATCACTCAAATTTAATTATATACATAACATGATTCTTCCTTTTTGTACTTGTATTTCTCTGTAAATATGTGTTAAGTACACCCTGTCAACCTATCTTTAATCTCCTTTGCTATCTGTGAGGACGTTTTCATATCCGCCTTTAATAAATCTTTGAAGTGTTCGTTTGATTTCCTTTCAGTTGTCCCGCCAAATGGTAGTCTCACTAGTTCCATATGTCTTGTTTGGACCGACCACTGTGCCTACTTGCCCACATTCAATATTCATCCATCTTCTCTTATCTGCACTAGCACACTTTTTTATTCTGTGACCCCACTCTGTATTTTATTCCATTTTCTTCCCTCACTACCTATGCTTATTTTAAAATTTATTTTCTCCAATGCAATGCTTGCTTTCTATTAATTTCAAGCCTGCAATGACCAGGTTCGAATATGTTTAGCACGTATTCTTATAAGCTGTTTGTGCGATGTTGATTTCTTTGAACTTTGGAAGACTTTATAAGACCTTAAACCTTTTTTTTCTAATATAAAAAACAACATTATTCAATAATTTATAAAATAGCATTCCGTTAAAACAGCTTCAAACACAATCAATATTACAAAATAAAACATCCCAAGTTAAACAGATTGAAAAAATGGAACGACCTATTGGTTTGGCTCAGTTCGTTCATTCTATTAATTTCAAATTTGGCCTGATGCATAAGGTTCAACTTTTCCTCGTGCAAAGACGAATTCATGTAGTCAATCTTCAACCTGTATTGAGCTGATGATGACATCAACATTCACACCACACAGCACGAGCTTGTTTTAAAAATGTAATAAAAATATCACATCACACGACACAATATAATTTGTTTTAATGTCAAAAACTTTCAACATTTTAATCATAAACAATAAAAGCGTTTTTACAATTTTAACAAACAAAATTAAATGAAATAGATGATAGTTATACAAAACAATAAATAGAAAGCTTAAAGCTTGTAGTGGGTGGCTGGTAAAGAAATGTTTTGAATATAGAATGTTAAAAGCATACCATCAGCGTATGAGGCCAGGGAATAAACAGCATCAACCTCAACATCGACGATGTGTGAAGAGGAAGATGACGACGACGTAGACATTAAATTGATGGCCTGTGAATTGTTGTATCAAAATTTGACCAGTGTAAATTATTTTACATTTAGAAATGTATGATATATTACATATACAGTTTAGTGTTTTTAAAAATATGTCAATTAATTAATTGTGTGACCATAAAATTTGAACACATGCCAAGGCTTGAAGCTCTACCTTGTTATAATATGAATCCATGATGACAGCAGGATTTTCTGACTGAGTTTCAACTAACAGGTCTCCAAACAGAATCAAACATTTCGCCAACAAGGAGGTGTCTTCAGACTTCTACAACATTTATAACATACATAACAGAACTTAAATTTCTAAATTGATTTAAGTTTAAAGTTTGATGCTTAAACTTAAAGATTAATTATGTTTTTAAAAGCTAAATCTTTTTTCGAAATTCCATTTCAACAGAATCATTACATTTATTTATTTCTAAATTCAAAAGAAAGTTTTTTTAAGATAAGAACGACTTAAAACTAAATGAAACGTGGTATATATTTAAAAAAACTATAGGAAACGATGGTAAGTGATGGTTAACAACAGACCAGGTTGCAGAGCTGACTGAACTGATGTCTGCTCACTTCTACTTCTCCTCTTACCCAAAACAGCAATGCTTCTTCCAGTTGCAATTTTATGAAATCATCATTAACATTTTTCACAGGTTTCAAAATTATTTTCTTCAACTTCGTTAGAGCCCATTCACTTACCTGAATCAAAACGTTCAAAATATAAAAATAATAATTATTAAAAAATGAAAATAAATCGTAACCTCATATTTCTTGGCTTTTCTAGACGATTCAACAAGATTGAACAGAGATGATAGAAGAAATGACTTCATCTGATTAGCGTTTGATTCACTGCATTCTGATAACATCATTTGCGACAGAGAACATCTCAGCTTCAGAATCATCTCAATGTCATCAAATTCACACACAAATTCCTCCTGTTGCCAGCGTTTAAACATTCCTTCAACTGTTTTAGTGCTGCATTGAAACAAGATATATAAAATAATAAATGAATACATTGTAACGGGAATTTTCAGATACCAAAGATTTTTTCACCCTCAAATATAACAAATAAAGATTAACTTTTTGAGAAATGTATCAGAAACTTCTTGAACTTCGGTCAAGCACCTGAACATGGATGCATAACTTTTCATGAAATTTAGACAATATCCTTCATTAAACTCACTAGATAATGTTGCTATGAGTTTAGACCTAAAGAAAAAAAAATGATAAAAAGCTCTGAATTACGTTTTCGATGAGAATAAGGAATGTGGAACAAAGAAGAAAATTTTGTTGAAAAAAACAAAATTTTTAAAAGCCGTAATTTTCACGTTTATGTTTATAAAAAACAAAGTGAACTCTTTTACAAGGTTACGCTTTTCGGTGCTAGATAACATCAATTGCCTATGCTAGCTTTATTTTGGTTGGCATGGCTTCAACCTCCTTTTATTCGTTCATTATCAGTGTGCTAACTTGATAAGCACAGAACTGCTTACACTATGTCTCTTATTCAATTAAGATTAAACTTGGTTATACATTCACTTCACACCACGAGTCCTACGTACGCATTTTGAGTTTTGATCAAGCAGTATTCCAACTAGGTCATCGGGCAAAAACAACGTCGCGAAACATGGCACTTCTGCCGTCTAACCTAATTCATCAATCTTCTGATCGATAAACTGATAGACTACAATTTCAATCTTATTGAGGTAGGTAAAATTACGATTTGACGAGGGGGGGCAAAATCTTCAACGGATCTTCAAAAACCTTTTAGCTATTTGCATAGTTTCTTGTCTTTCCAATTAAAACGATGCTTTTTATGCAAACCGACAAAGGCCTGGGTTATACAAATTCCCTATTTAAACTGCAACAAGTGCTAAAGATGATGAGATACTTTTAAAATTCTAAAAAAAATCGAAGATGGTCGGGCGTGAACTTTTTTAAAATTAGTTCAAGTTGACAAAAAATAATCCATATATAAAAATTCGAGAAATCCACTACCTGGCCTCCTTAAGCCTTAACTCTACAAGAGAATGCTTCTTTTCCTTCAATGCAACCACGCTTTCATATAAAAGTTCATGAAAACCAACATTGTTTCGAACTTCAAGAGAGGATGATGTTCTAGCTATTCTGTATTTATTTTATTGGGTTTTTTGAAAAAAAAGCATCAACATTTTTAAATGATTTAACCATTATTCAATATCATTTTTATTGAAAATCAAGAAAAAATTTAAAAACTATCGTGTATTAATGATAAATAAATTTTTAATTATTAAAAGTTATTAACTGATAACAACTAACTCTTTGCATTGCAAATCGAAATCCCACTTGGTGGCCTGCAAGGCGGCTTGGAACTGATGTTCCCTCACCTCTCCAGACACCTCACTCCTTTCCAACTGGTCTCGAATGTAAACCTCAAGCATTTTTTCACAGCCCAACTTTTGCAGTGCCTGTTAAAAATTATATGTGCTGCAAGCAATGACTTACAAGCAGAATAAAAACTAGGGAGGTTATTATGAAGCAAGTACTTAGATTCTAATTACAGAAAGTGCTAGGAACGATTCAAATCTATAACATTCAGCTTGTCAGTCAGGGCTCAACTGTTAATATTGAATAAACACAATTTTCGCAGGTTTTGCTTATTCAGCTTTAAAATAGTAGATCTGATTTTGCAGTGTTTGGACAAGTGGTCCACGAATACAACAAAATAAAAGATGTTTTGTACTTGGCAGGAAAATATATTTTTAGAAATATTAGATGTAAACTTTGATGATGGCTCGGTTGGAATCGTCAGACACTTCATCTACATTTGTGCCATCTAGTACAGAAGTCAACATCTTGTCAGAATATATCAAACACTTCACCCAGTCTTCTTCTTTTTCCAGCATCTTAATTCTTCATTCAAATAAAATTTCATTAATATGTAACTAAATTATTAAAATTTTTTTATGCATTTTACCAAAACAGTAATTTTTTTATACAACTAACGCAATTTTAAACTAAAATTAAATGAAGCGAATTTAAAAAAATAAAAAAGTTAATAAGATAAAACCTGTTGGATGGTTTGAGGAGGTTGTCGGTAGAGCAGCCATAAACGGAATCAACATCTCTGATGGACCTGTACACTTCCAACCAAATATTGTGAATCTTCATGTCATTTTCCTGTCTAGAAATTTGATGAACAGTTGGGAGTTTGGTGAAAAGTTGGAAATTTGATGAATTAGAATTCAATTGGAAGCACTTATTTAATTAGTGGAATAATAATTAATAACAGGAAAAACAAATGATTTAGTTGCTTCTTGCTTCATTTAAAAAATTCTTTAATGACACAATGGTTCAATTGAAAACATGAAACTTCAAATAAAACCAGAGCACAATTAGAGAAAAGTCATGGATTGAAGTAAATTAAAAACTATCTAATGCCATGATGTGAATAAATGATGCCATGATGTAAAACTTGTAATCAACAAAAATGGATAAAATATCTAACTGAAAAAAGTTTGAAAAGTTAATAAAAATGAAAATTAACCCACCCACGCTGCAGACAATAAATCTCAGAAAACAAGAGGGAGGCATAAAATTTTTTGGACTTGAGAGCAGCTTGAGCCACAAGAGCATAATCAACATCCAACCAAAAATTATTCTCCCACTGATTTCTAAGTAGAAAAATTACGTTGTGTTTTACGAAAACTAAAAAAGTATAAAACTCCAAAAGTTATTTTGAAAATAAAACAAACAGTATGAATGAAAAATGTCTGCCTACTTTTTCTAATTATACTCTTACCATAATTTTAAAACGGTTTATTGTGGGAATGTTAATAATCAAGTTAAGAAATTATAAAAACGTCGATAGAAACTTTTTTTACTTTGCTCCGTTTTTATGTTTCGTTCTTAAGAATAAAAGTGTTTCAATGATATTGTCCGCTGTTTCTCTGTGCACAACTTTTAATTAATTTTTTGAAATTGTCAGCCAATTAGATATGAAAATTTATAAATTGAAACCTTGGATGTTCTGAACGTAACGCGCGAGAATGGAGTTAAACTGACTTGAGATCACCGTTTGAAATGTATCAAATTTAACCAGTATCTCGTGTATCAGGTAAGGAATGATAAAATCACAAATATTTTCCTGCATGTAATTAAACGCATTTTAATTTATTCAGCATATAATTATACACATAGAGCATTGGTATAAAAATTGAAATGAAACCTTCATTGAGCAAATAGGGAGTAACGCAACAAGAATGAGATCATCAGCAAATTCGCGCGTTCTCGTCAGTTCACAAACCAACATCTGACTGAAATTTTTTGCAGGACAGCTTGAGTTGCCTCCCCAAATTTTTTCGTCATTTAGGATAACTTTCATGTTTTTGAACGGCATTACTTGCTTTAAAAAGTAGTAAAAAAATTTGGTATATTAATTTTAAAAAAATGATTTTCATGGACAACGATGAAAAAGTGCTGAGAAAAGCTTGGCAAACTAAAAACTTTGAAGTTAGAAGAGGGGAGAAATGTTACTTCATCACATACACTACTCCCCTTTCTGATCTTATCTCAAAGTTTGGTAATCAACTTCAGTTTCATCAACTTTTAAAATGTTCTCCTCAGTTACCTGACATTATCGCTGGTTCCTCTCTCAAGCTTTCTTCTTTCTCTTAATTGCTGCAACCCTCAAACCACTTCGTCTCTCCAACGTCTTCCAAACAACAAGCTAATTTATTTCTTGATGTGCCATATTACACTTCCAGATCAACTTCACCGTTCAAATTGCATGGGCTTCATATTGGTCAACGTATAACATATAAATATCTACCAATCATTGCCGTAGATCAATCAAACAATCTTCGTTTTGCGTCCAGAGACCAAGTTTCCCGAGGTAGGACGTTGTTTTCTTAGCCATCAACTTTTTGCGCCAAATTAGACGATCAGTTGTATCCATTTCATTTAAATTTAGAGCTTTCATGTCTTGCTCGATTGTTTGCGACCAGGACTTCTTTGGACGGCCTTTGGGACGTGTGCCAGCTACTTCAACATCTGCAAGAGAAGTTATGGTACTGTTTCCACTTCGTTTGACATGACCAAACCACTGCAGACGGTGTTGCCGGCATTCGTCCTTTATCGCGGTTTATCTTTTCTGGTTCTTCATATTGCCATCGTTCATTTAAAAAAAATCAACACTTCATCTTTTCAAACAACATTTGAAAAATTATGTCTTCCTTCAGGCATTTTGATGTAACATTAATACTAATTTACCTTAAGCGCCTGTGAAAAGAAATATGATTATTATTATTGAAAGGGCGCCAACCTCAATAAAAGTTGATTCACTGGTAGTACATTTGAATGGGTGAAGTAGATTGATTGCAGAAACAAAGTCGTTGTTTTTTAAGAGATACATTTCAATTTCTTTGGTCGTTTGCTTTCCCATATTAGTCATTAATATTTTCTTCAACACTTTGCAAGTTTCCATCACTACATCAATACTTTAAAAACATTAACAAATTAAGAACAATAACTTATGTTTGTTGCATTTAAAGAATATTAAACAAAAGTAACTGAATACTAAAGAGAGTGCAGACTTTTCATGCAGAATATAGCCCAGCAAATACTCAGTGATGATGAGT